CGGCTGCACAATTTAACTAACGCTAAAAGTAAAATGCCCTTAAGGCACAAATTATTATTATATAAGACCTGCGTACGACCTATTATGTCCTACGCATGCATGATCTTCGCCCACACGCACTCTACTCGCTTGTACAAGCTGCAAATAGTACAAAATAAGTTTATCCGCCGCGCAACCGGTGCGCAAAGGTATCAGCGCAACGTCGACCTGCACAGCGATTGCAGACTCCCGACGATTCGCGCACATTTTAAGGATTTGACAAAACTGTTCTTCGATAGAGCCCAGCATTATCCCAACCCTTTGGTGGTAAGCGCAGCAAACTACCAACCGGACACTAACGCGAACGTAAACAAGCGTCGCCCGCGAAACGTTCTCATCGACCTGGTCGACGAAGAGGACTTAGATACGATGGACCCACCGCCGGGGGTTCCCGCCGGATAACACTACACCCACAGTTAGTGTAACAACAATCACACCAGTTCGCCCTCGCCTCCGAGCACGGCGAGACCCACACAACGCGTACACAAGGTAGAGCCGCGCTCCGGGGCGGTTCTCACCGCTCCCAGCCACTGATTAGCTAAATGCACAGTCGACGGCCGTCGGGGTCTCGGTCCGAACCGCGACCTCGACGGCCCTTAGATGACACACCATAATTAAACGCACGCATGAGCACATGCGCGACCCTACCCATAGCGGAGGGTCCAAACCCGTGGGTTCTGGCTAGCCCACCGGTTCTGCGTCCGATGAAGCTTTAATAGTCTCGGGACTGAAAGCAAAAACATCAGTTAATACAAGATACAAGATACAAGAAGCAATTGCGCTGTCGGCCTTTAAGGTAGGAATAGGCTCTTTTCTTGAAGCTCCCTAAGTCGTATCGGTCCAGAAATACCGCTGGCGACAACTCGTTCCAAGAAGTAGTTGTGCGGGGTAGAAATTTGCGTGAAAAACGCACGGTGGTAGACCTAAACTAACTATCAAGGTGGCAGTTATTATAATTTATGATAATAAACTTTTAATTTGTTTGGATTTTCATTTTAAAGTTCTGATTAAAAAATATCCATAACACAACTATCCGAAATTACAGAAAATCCGAAATAATTTCTTTGCCTATATATGCAAATGAATCATGTTTTTGATATATTATATATACACGTAATTACGTCCCTAACAAAATATTTGATTTCCACATAATCTATATTGTGTCCATTGGAAAATTGATATAAATCCATATTATTCAAGTAATTAATCATAGCTATTTTTTTTTTATGCGAAAAGTTGTCAAACGAGCAGCTGGTTCACCTGTTGTTAAGTGAATACCGCCGCCCATGGACAGATGCGTTGACAATCTTTTGAAAATTGGGCTCCGGCTACCTCACTCACCAGACGAAACGCGAAAGTATTTGTCATACTTCCACTTTACGCTGGTCTTCTGCGAGGTCGTGGTACTTACCCGGACGGGCCTGCCCATTCGTGCAACAGCCGGGGCTGCTGCGTGGCCCTACCACGAGAAAAGTTTAAAGAGAAAAGTTTTAAGAAGAGTTTTTCAACGTTAGCCAGAATATTTAATATGCAAAACCAGAGTGAAATCTTGCGATTGTTTCAACAATCAACGTATTTTAATGTAACGTCAGGGAAATAGATACTTTATAAATTTAAAAGTTTTTTATAGTGCTAATCTCTGCACTTAAGATTGAACATTAAAACATGTAGAAAAAGCGCCAAGCATTGCTTCAAATGCTAAATAACAATGTAGAAAGAAGGCGTTAAGATTTTCGTCGCTGTGGCTATCAGCCGTTTCTCAGTGGCTAGAGCGTCAGGCCGCGAATGCCGAAGACGTGGGTTCAATTCCCACAGCGGCGACAATCTTTTCGTACTTTTTCTACATGTTTTAATGTTAGATACTTTATGATGTGAATTGGATCATGAATACAATTATATTATTAAACCTTATTATCAGGTAATACAATACAAATCTACATTAGTTTGAGGCAGCGTTTCAATCGGTACAGCCTGCATAAGGGTTTCATGTTCTTATCATCGTACTCATTCGAGTGTAATACGTGATGTGCTTTGCTGGATTAACAATGTGCACGACATCCTGCCCGTTGTTCTGTATGCGAATCAACTGACGTCGTTAAAACTCTTCTCGTCGCAGTAACTAACTACTCTAACTTTGTTATGATCTCGTTTGTCGTGATGCCAGAGTGGTATAAAAATATGCGTTGTCATAATTGTGTTTTGATGTATTCACAAAATTTCTTTTCGGATATATCTTTCAACTTTTTTTTGTAAGAAGATGGCAAACGAGCTGGCGTTTCACCTGAAGTTAAGTGATAACTGCCGCCAATAGATATTTGTAACACAAGTAGGGTTGCAGATGCGATGCCACCTTTTAATAATGTGGGATCCAGCTACCACACTCACCAAATGAAACGCAGAAGTATCACACTTCCACTTCTCGCCGGTCTTCTGTGACGTCGTTGTATTCCAGACCAAATCGTGCAACATGTTGAATCATGTGGCATTCAGTGAAAGAGTGGCCCTTCCTCGGGTTTGCCAGCCCTTTCAGGTGCTACTCGAAAGTGCGAAGCATGGCACTAGCACTAGTTCTATTAATTACGATTGTTCATTCTGGTTCTCTGGTGCAAACTGGCTAAATTGAGGAAAAAGGAGACCTCAATCAATTTTTTCCAAAGAAAAAGGAACAGTCGTCTTGACGAAGGTTCCTCTAATAATATATTTTTCGATTGCCCAAGACTTACATATTTCCTTTATGATTATATTCCTTAGTACATTCCTCATCCTGTAAATGTTCTTTATTGTTAAACCAGGTTTGTGAAAGGTGCTTTTGGACTTTGACGTGGACTTTTTATAAATAACTTGTGTAATTTTATAAGTACTAACAATATAAATTTAAACGTAAATGTAAACTAATTTTGATAGTGGGAAAATAAATGTCTTTTTTGTTCTTGTTGTAGATTCGGAAGTATCACAAAAAAATTGTAATTAATTAACAAGACTGCAGTGGTTGACACACATTAAGAATGGCCATTAATGAAAGAAGAAGAAGTCTGTACTATGATTTAAACTCTTGTAAAGTCTTCGAAAAACCGGGAATCAAACCAATCTTAAATTAAACTAATTGTCATTGAAATAAAAATGGTATTGTCATACATTCTATATAACAAATGAAAGTGAGGTTGACCGTGACTTTATTATCTTTTAAACATTATTTTTTTAGCGGCAAACATAAGCTTTAAAATAGCGGTTGAATCATTAAATTTCATGAAGAATTATTGAGGTTTAGGCGTACAGAAAAAAAAAACATCTTTGGGTAATAATATAGAGAGATTATTTAGAATATAGAGAATATTATATAAAATAGATTTAGTTAATTTTTAATGCGAACATTTTCATTATTATAACTTTAAGGTCATATTGATAAGCTTAAGTTAATCCTTATTAATATTATAAAGGTGAAAGTTTGTATGTATGGATGGATGTTTGTTACTCTTTCACGCAAAAACTACTGAACAGATTTTAATGAAACTTTACAATAATATAGCTTATACATCAGAATAAGACATAGGCTATAATTTATATATATATTTTATGTATATCTGTCTTTCGGTCTGAATGTAACTCCTTCAGCCCATTCTACGCAAACGTAGTCGCGGGCAGCAGTTAGTAATTAATAAGTTTCACCAATACGTCTGAGTCTGTTAATTCAAAGAATTTGTGAGTCTTTAAAACAAAGTGTAGAACGCATTTACGTGAGTGGTCTACACGATGGTACAAATTGTTCGTGCGACGTTTTTTTTCAATTAACTTGTTCGATAAATTTTTTCTTATACGAACAGTGAATATAGGTACTCGATTGGCAGCCAAATCCCGACAACTCTGTTGATTACTTTCCGAAAACTATTGGAACTATTCGAGGCCGTGGTCAAACATACATGTACACACATACGTAAGTGTTCTTTTAGTTTATAATATATCCAGCTGGCCCACGCAACTTCGTCTGCGCCAATTCTACCGGGTACATACGTTTTTACTTTTAGCATAGCGCCATCTATCGGATACTTACTCAATATAGCCGATAAATTTATCTTGAACCGCCATCTGTTAGAATCTTATGGGACTCACAGATAGCTTTACCGAGATAGAGATTAAAATTACCCTATCTCCCATGTTGGACCAAATCACAAATGCTTACAAAATTTTATAAAAATTGGTTCAGTAGTTTCGGAGTTTATCGCGACCATACATCGTGACACGAAATTTTTATATATTTATATAAAAAATATAAGATTGTACTTTAGTCATATAAAACAAAGAAGTAAATAAGACTATCAGATCAGAGGTTTAAGATAAGATTATCGTTGTCTGGCTATTTGCTTTGGCGTGCGTTGTTAAATTTTACTTTTAAAATTTTTGATAGGAATTTTTTTTTTTCGTGTTCATGGAAAATATGAATCGTCTCTTATAACAGGCTACATAAGATATTACATGTTTAGTACACACATTAACTTTACCAAGAAAACGACGCCCCTCCCATGGTACTTGTGCCAAATGCTATCCGACACATCTGGCGTACGTAATCTTGTTATAAGGAAAAACTTTCTTAATATGAACGTTGTTTGGTTTCAAGCCATTTCCCTTTGGAGGAAAAATGGAGTAATTACTAGTACATTCCTAGGGCTGTATTATTATGAATGTAAGCTACCCGTACCTTATTTTTAATAAACGGCTCTAAGGGATTATTTACACAAGATTTGAAGGGTGGAACTATTGTTACAATTAAACATGATACATTTCTCCGTCTCTTTTGACGGACTTTATTTCTTTACATAAAATGAATGCCTGTAATTGCCCTAGGGCAAATTATTAGGCAGTTTAACAATCACTATAGCACAAGTGAACTTTAAATTACAGTAACAATCACTTGTAAACAGATCTTTACATAGTTTTAGAACTCATCAGCGTCTCATCATAGTTTACCGTAAGTAATGCGGAGGCACGTGATGAGGTGGTGGGGGTTGCGGGTGATGAGGAGGCGGCGGGTGGGGGTGGAATGGAGGCGGTGGTGGGTGGTGATGTGGGGGCGGTGGTGGATGATGATGAAACGGTGGGGGCGGCGGGTGATGCTGGTGCGGTGGCGGTGGCGGGTACACGGCCACTTGGTTCCTAAAGTAACAGTGCGGAGCACAGTAGCCAGTACCGCAGTGTGGTCCGCAGGGCAGCGCATGTGGCGGAGGCATTTCTGAAACAATACACATATGCCGAGTTATAAATTTAATAATTTGTATATCTAAAATCTAAGGCATGGCGAAAGAGTCACAGAGCGGAGGGTAGATATTAACATCATATAACATTATAACTGACTGTCCCAAAAATGTTAAAAGTTCGTTAGACATGTTAATACATTCCAAATATGGAAATGTGTGTTTATTGTGAAAATTATTTTAAACAAATGAACTGCGAAATCTTTTATATAGGATATTAAGGTGGGTCATTCATTTTAGAGGCTGACGTGATAAAATATATTTAATTTCTAGAATTATTTTTTTTCTAGAATTGATTAAATTAACAAAAGGATATTATATATATATTTGGTTATTTAGATTTTATATGTAAACAGTTTTTAAAGGATTATGTTATCAATTTTTAAATAGGTTGCGTTTAGTGATAAAGATATCTATGTCATTTATCATGTTGCAGTATGCTAACCGTTTCTGTACTTAAAATACTAATGATTTAACCTAGACATTCAGAATATTATCTCAAAATACTAAACCTGAATATTATCCCAAAATACTGACCAGGCATAACGTGTAGTAGGTACACATTATGCCGTTTTTGTTAAATTTAGATCATTTAAATTACTGATTCATATTTAATAATGTTACAATTAATATTTTAAGTTAAAGGTTGAAAGTTAGTTTATTATTAAAAAAACAAAAGAAAACAAAAAAAAACTCACCTATCTATTATTTATAACCACCTTTTATACTCAAACTAATGTCTCCGTTGATTATTCGTAACCAACTATAGCCAATAGCGTTGGGCTCTCATTTTATTGATTTTTGCTATTTAATCTATTGGAGTGCTTTATTATCTTTTGTACCGCGAATTTGATAAGATAAGTTATCGACAAGTTATCAAGTCGAACATAATACAAACAACGTATGCAAAAGAACGATTTAAAGAAAGTGTGACATTTTGAAAACCAAATAACGTAGAACACATTAGGTGATTATTGTTGGCGTGTTGTCTTTAGAACTCACGAAGTGTATAAAATTTTTCATGTGTTAAGATTAAGTCGAAGGCTGTATATTGTATTCGTTATTGCCTAAATCAACATCACACAGCGTCTTTATTGCTACGTCTTTATAAATAGTGTATACATAATTAATATAGAGGTTTTATTCTGTTAAAAGAAGTAACATGAGATAATACAGGAAACCGCTACGATAAGCTTGATGGAACGATTTCTTACTCGATGTTGATAATATAAATATCTTATATACATTATTTAGAAATGGCCCCGAACAATTGAAAATATATTTGACGCTATGACGTGATTTTGATGTCGAAAAAACATAGCGCCGTTACTATTATTAATTATAAAATAACAAGGACAAAATATTGGAAAGGGTAGCATGAATTGATATAATATTAGATATTTTATTATTATATTATTTATTACACAATAAAATAACTTATTTATGGCTCATAGGCCCACTGAAAACCAGCGCTGTAGCCTCGTATCGACTGCAGCATTAAGCTGAGTGCGGTCTGTTTGCCGTATACGCCACACACAAGTGTGTGTTGTAAAATGCGTGATGTGTTTCATAATATTTTTTTTTTTACTATGTATATTTTATGTTTGCGGTTTAAATGTACATACCCTAGATGTTGGAACTGTTCAATCCTTATGTAGCGTATTTATGCAAAAAAAAATTTGGATTTTATGGCCCGGTATCAAGGACATTTAGGCCAATTTTTTTTTCTTTCTTTGTTACTATAGATAATATTAGGTGTGCAAGAGAAAAACAATGCTTCTCGAGACAAAATTAATTATAAACTTTTTGTATGGAGTTCGATTTGCATTTTATATAATTTATCAGGTTGTTGGTTGGCCAAATAAGATCTTGTATACGTACGACTTTTTCAAGTCTATAACTTTTACCGGTTATATAATAATGTATAATGAAGTAACAATGCGTATAAAAGTTTGCAATGTTAAGAACGTGTTGGTTTTCTTATGGAAGGACTTTGCTTGAATTGACGAGATGTAAGTTGTTTTAATTATTGTAGTAAAAAGTGTGACACTCGTAAAAACACTTTAATGAACATTGTTGCTAGATAAATACGTATCTAATCTTAGATTAATTTAGGTTTAACTTCGACATTAGAAGGCGTTATGCATAAAATTTTCAAAGCCGGTTCGGTGCTATTTGCCCTTAGAGATAAGGACTGATGATTGTAGCGATTAGGCGAATTAGCGTCGACACTCGTACGTATATCAAAATCGTTCGATTCGTAAGTATGCGTCACCACGTTAATGACACCTTTGGGGTATAAAAAAGTATAATAACGTGCGTATAATGACGTTAAATAAGTTGTTTTTTTGTGTGAGTCATACTCAATGCTGTTGTTATTATTTCACTAATTTTTATTCAAAGTGTAATTGAAACTTATTCCCCTAAAACGACTCGGAATGTGTCATTACGCCACCCATACGGTCAACTCGCTAGTAGATGTAGCTTCTTCTATATACAAATGTGCTCCGTGTATACAGCTAATGTAGCTAAGATGTCATTATGATTATTCGGTAGAGGACTGTCAACGTCTTGTTTTACTGTTTTGAACGCCGAACTTAATTTTGTTTTAAATTGTTACTATAGAATACAAGAAGGTTCTTATACCTAACATTTTCTTTAAAGAGACGATTAATTCCGACCCTTATTCCAGAATATTGTATGCAAAAAGGCGATTGGAATCAGGTCTATGAAGGAGTCCGATCACGCTAGACATGATTTCAGTTCTGGAGCTCAAACTGGAATAAAGAAGAGAATGAGGAGAAGCAAAAGTGGTTGTGAAAGTAAGAAGAGTTCAAGTGGATGTGGGCAACAACAAGAAGGTTATCGCATCTGTTTGAGCTTCTTTATAAAATAAAGATTGCAATACCGGCGTTTCATTTCAATCCCGCAATCCCTAGCTCGTAACAATACCAAAAAGTAACTTTGTCGTTTACCAGATGTACGTTTGTGATGCTCTTTGTTTTCATAAATTTATCCATTATTGAACAATGATGCAGTTTTCAAAATAAGCATAATAATATATCGAATTAAAACGTAGTGCAAAGATATGTTATCAGATAGAAATGTGTCATTTTTAACGCAATCATTTTTTAAAAAGAAGGTTTTCCCACTGTTCGTAAAGTTATCGTCATATCGTGTTGTAGAAGAATTTTGATGTGTTTGTTGACGTATTATTTTATTTGTTAGTTAACAAGATAGGACTTCTTAAAGTCTTGAAAAAATTAAACTTCTAAAGCACCAATTATAATAACAGACATTTAAAAACTTTACAGCATGTGTAGCTAGTTTCATATTACTATTTATTACTTATAGGTATACTAAAACGTGAATATATCTTTAAGTTCCTCACTAGGCAAACTTGTATCAAGGTAACCGTTTTTCGAAAATAAATGTTATTTAAAATTTTAACTTTCATTCATTTATATATCTTATCATCATTATTTAGTTTTCTTCATTCAATTATCTTAAGTATTATATAGATAAATATGGTAATTTTATGTAGACTTAAGAATTATTCGAATTTGTAGAAAAAGTACGAAAAAATTGTCGCCGCTGTGGTAATCCAACCCACGTCTTCGGCATTCGCGGCTTGACGCTTCAACCACTAAGCTAAACGGCTGATTGCCACACCGACGAAAATCGTAACAACACTTAAGAAACTTTTGCGTAATGGCACACAGCAGCTTCTGTTTTATCATTATTATTCTTAAAACATTAAAACATGTAGAATTATTATTTAAGAAAAATTATTATTTAATAAATAATTATTTATTAACATGTAGGTTATTATTCTTTATCTGAGCAGGTGTCAAACGAGCTGGCGGTTTTCTTGATGGTAAATGACAACCAGCGTCCATTGATATTTACAACAGGCGTAGGGTTGCAGATGAGTCACCACCATTTAATAAAATGGGCTCCGGCTTGATACTCACAAGAAGAATCGCAAAAGTGGTAATACTTCTTCTTTATGCCGCTACTGTGAGGGCCTGGTACTTAACCGGACGGACTTGCCCTTTCGTGCAACAGCGAACTTGCGACTTGCGTGATTCTACCAAAGTTAAAAGCTAAAAATAAATGGGTTGACTTGTCCGAGAGAAGTATCTGTGCCCACTAGCATTGAGACTCGGTTTTAAAGTACAGTACAGGTATTTATACTTTTGGCAGTTAGCTGGTGATTGCAGAGATTGCTTTTTAAAGTTATTTTTTCTTCTGAGCATATCATCTGCAGTATTTAATTTGTAGGCAGTACTTACTTTGTTTTATGTACTCTTCAATAATATTGATATCGGTATGGATAAACACAAGGGGCTTATACAGATGTCGATTTGTTTAATAGGTTTGAAAGAAATATGAGTAACAGGAAACTTAGGGGCTACCCAATCTTATCATTAATAATAAAGATTAGATGAATAACGGCAATATCGGTTCAAATATATAATGGCAGCAAACCATTTCGGATATTGAGAGCACATTTGGCACATCGATTTTACGGTTGTGTTGCTTGGTAAGGATTTTTACTGTTATTATTTCTAGGTCGATTCATATAGTAATTTGTGTATCCCAGCTTCGTATAATTTGAAATTAAACTATTCCATTTAAATAAAGCTTGAGTCCAGTTGGATGTAAAGTACTGTCCTCAATCGTGCCTAGTATAGTACATAATATGACTAGTTCTTCAAAATACCAACTACCTATTTTCAATCATTTCAGTCTTAAGAGTGACTCTGAGTATCGGTAATCATTTTAGGTCCCAGACTATTCAACTGTAATATGTAGTGTTATCGGCCGCAAAAACGACTTAAAATCTTTTTTTTATGTGAGAAGGTGGCAAACGAACTGGTGGTCACCTGATGTTAATTTATAACCACTGCCCATTGACATTTCCAACACCTGTAGGGAACTCACCAGAAGAAACGCAAAAGTATAACAGTTCCACTTCACGCCCGTATTCTGTGAGCTCGTGGTAGTTACTTGGATGGACCTACTCATTCGTGCAACAGCAAAGACTGTTGCGTGCCCCTACCACCTATTCTTTTATATTTTTTTATATATAATTCCTTAATATTAAAATATTAAATATATTAACACTTCCAATAATTCACAGGTAGATTTATCGAGATGCCACCACCACACCACCCTCCACAGCATCCACCCGGCCAACCGCCGCCGCCGCATCACCCGTCAGGACATCCACCACCACCCCATCACCCACCAGGGCATCCGCCTCCACCGCACCTAGCACCCGGACCTTCCCCGCCACCACACCACCCACCGGGTGCACCGTACCATTAACGATAACATGGAATATTGTACTTATTTCCAAATTATCTTTTAACAATTTGTTTGATAAAGAAAGTCTTCATGAAGCAAACCGTTTCGTTCGGTAAAGATTTGAAAATATTTGTTTCAAGTATTTCAAAATCCTCTTGCTTGAATAATTTATTAAATAAATAAATCCTTTGCTTCCAAAGTTTCTTTGAGCCTACTTTATGAAATAAGCAAAAATGTGTTTAAAAATATACAATTGTTTGCCAACTTTTTTAGACTGAATTTTAAATCAGTAATGTAAAAGAAAGATATAAAATAATACATAATAATATAATATATTTATTATGTATTATTTTAGTATTTTTGGTAAAAGTTTTATAAAATAATGTTGATTCATGTTTGCAAACTGAGTATATTAGAAGTACTGGAAAAAAAATTAGACAAAATCTTTAGTAGTTTAACCTATCAGATATCTAACGGATAACAATATTATGATAGCTACCATTATTACAGGCGACTACTAATTGAAATCGTTTTAATTCCCCGCACACCCATGATTTTCCTTAAAATTTACGACAAATCCTAAGCTTCAAGATTATCGATAAATCTCAAGCTCGACCTTAAAAGTTTATTTGAAGATTTTAGTTTGATTTGTGCACTCAATGCTTCACACACAATCAATTATAATTTAAGTTGGTTTTCAGGCGTTTCAAGTATCCAAAACCATTGCACGTTCATGTTGTTTATTCATGTGTATATTAGTATGGTAGTAGTTAGAACCGAGTATTGTAATTCACAAGACAGCTGGTCAGTGAAAAACAGTTGTCATTATAATTATTGTCCCTTAAATTTTATTGTCTATAATGAATTAAATTGTTCAAAAATAATTTGAAACTTTAACGAGCACAATACACATTATACATTTATATTTAATAAAGTGTATTTAATTTTACGAGCGCGGTAAAAAGCTGGAGTTAACGGTAGCTTAACAGGTACGAGGAAATGTACCTAACTAAATCCATGGTGGCGGGAAGTCACGTTCAGACAATATTTGTTCAACATGAAATTCAGCAGTTGTTGTGCAGTGTTATAGTAAACTCAGTAGCTATTTTTTGTTATGGGCGAACAAAGGAAACACGCGCCTACAGAAGTTATACGCGCAATTTTTTTGTTCATATTAGAAACATGGTGCGATAAAACAAGTTAATTTGATAATATAATATAACACTGAGAAACAGGTCTTTCTTTCATCTCTGCCCACATTTTACTGAAACCATTAATAATTTATTACTATTCAAAGTGGGCGGTGGTAATCACTTAAAATCAGGTGAACCACCAGCTCATTTGCCATATTCTCACTTATAAAAATGTATGAGTGTACTTGTTAGAAGTTATACTTCTTCAGCGATAACTAAGAGTTTATTTAAATAAATAGGAATTAAATTATATACCGATCATTTCGCTTTTTGAGGGACGGTGTCCGTGTGTATTCAAAAAAAAATACAATGTGAATAGAAAGAAATCTTTTTTTATTTGTGATAAAGTGACAAAAGTGCTGGCAGTTCACCTGATGTTAAGTGATAACCGCCGCTCATGGACTTTTGCAACAACCATAGGGTTGCAGATGCGTTGCCATCTAAAAATAAAGTGGGCCCCGGCTACCTCACTCACCAGACGAAACGCAGAAGTGTACCACTTCTACTTTACGCCGGTCTTCTGTGACGTCGTGGTATTGACTCGTTCGGACCTGCCCAATCGTACAACAGTGAAAACTGTTTCGTGGCCCTACCACAGTTTGGGTAGCAACATCAGACCACTTTTAGTATTGGCGTCCTAAAAGGGCAGGGAAAAATATGATGTCAACTAGAAGTCATCTAAATATCTTAATCAATATAATATACCATTTCATAACATAGAGACTATTTCGTGTTTTTGTTCAAATTCGTCATTAATTGAGAAATATATGTACTCGAACTCGGAGTATTATGAAATGATATTATGTAAATAATGATATTCATGTTGGCCATGAAGACCAATGATAATTATGTTGCATGAATGGGCAGGTCCGTCCGGTGATGTACCACGACCACACAGTGTGAAGACCGGTGCGAAGTGTAAGTGTTATACTTCTGCGTTTCGTCTGCTGAGTGAAGTAACCGGGGCCCAATTCGTCAAAAGGTATGACAAATATCCATTGTCGCCGGCACTTAACCTCTGGTGAAACACTAGATCATCGCGTAAGAAAATATTACATTAAAAAAAATTGTTGTGGCTTCCTTAATTTCAACATTTTGTGACCTGAAACGCTAAGGTCGCTAAGTCGATATAAAAAATTGAGGATCATAACCTTACCATATAAAACATAATTTCATTGATACTATCGTTAAATGATTGTGTTGAATCAGCGCTGAGATCGAAAAAGCCGTGTCACGTTTCATCCGTAAAACAGACATAGAAAGTTAGGGTACAATATATATATCTACGACTTGCTCAGATATCGCAATACTGTTTTCTCACGTTGCTGTTTTCCAAAACAATTTCCTTGGATTTTTTTAAAGTATCACGAACTATGGAAAATGAGTCACTTCGGTTGTTGGTATGTATGTAAATTGTATTTTATATTACCGTAGTAAGCTATTTAATTTTATATAATATTAATCAAAATTTATTTTAAATGCTTGTCACGACACAGCATTTTAAACAACAAACAATTTCACAAAAGTCTGTAAACAATACAACAAAATTATTTTGATAGACGCTTGCGGCACGGTACTCGGTGAAACAAATTATATTTGAATTCTAATAATATAAATCCCAGATGTTCTATTTTAACGTTGAGTATTGAAAGTGTTTTATTTAGAGTAGAAATATTTTCTGGAAAAACGTGTGGAGGTCGAGCGATCCTCGTCAGGAATGAATTTCCTTACGCTTTTCTCTCAACTCCGAATGAAATTCAAAATAAAATCTGCGTGAGTTTTTTTATAGCATTTTGTCAATATAAGTAATACAGGTTTTTTAATCAAATCAAATAGGTTTAATCAATATTTTAGGAAAATTTAAGCGTAAATTATGAAATATAAAATAAGTGCGTATTAAAACACATACTTGAAGCTTTAATTCCTTGTGACGATTTTCAACTCAAACTACCCAAAATCAGTGTTTAGGAATTTCGTTGGCTGGGCCCTTGCCTCACAGAAGACCGGCGTGAGAAAATATGTTACATGCACGTTTCATCTGATGAAAGAGGTAATTGGGGCCCTTTTTAAAAGTTTGAAACCCATCTGCAAGCGCTTGGTGTCGTAGATGTCCAGGGGCGGCAGTAATCACTTAATATAAGGTGAACCGCCTGCTTGCTTATCAACTTTTCGCATAAGAAACATTACTTTGTAATTACCGTAACTGATTACTGTGTAAAAAAACAACATATGAAGAATTAATTATATCACTTCATATGCATGAAGTAAGTTATACAACACCGGTTATTCGAACCCCCATCGTATCTTTAATAGAAAGACCCGGAAAAGGAACCTTCTTTCACTCTACACTAATAATTTAAAATGAAATCAAATACGTCAGAAAGTCAGTTCGGAAATGTCATCGCAGGTCGTTGACATTTTAGACGTCGACCAAAGATCGTAAACGTAGTGATTACATGCTCTTTGCTAACATTTATCCCAAGATGTGCTTGGCCAGAGCATCGTTAAGTCTATAAACGCACAGACTTTTTCGTTCTAATTGTATATCGCGTCGATAATTCACAGGTGGACATTTAAACCAGTCCCGGTTTCCTTGACGAAACGGCTCTTCCATTTGTGCTCGGCTTTCCCATTTGGGAGCGCTCCTTGAATGATATTACGTACTTGGTCATGAAGTGGTTCAGCGATAATTTTGCTCCGATAAAACGTTATGATGTCGAATTCCTTTATGAAAAACACGGCGATGTCATGCAGTAACAATTGCTTTAGTTGGCCCATTTGCTCTAGAATATCTCCTCTATCCTAGTGCTCACCACGCTATTCCTGAACCTTTCGCCCGTCTTCTTCGGCAAGACGTATTTGTCTCGATCCTCCCATATCTCATAGACCACGACGGGTTTAAGGTTGTACAGTTAGCAAATTTCGCGGACGGAATGGCCCTTGTGCGTGATTCATGTCCTACCACACATATCCCTCGAGGGTTTTGGTCAGTCCTTGACTGTCGCTTGTACCGATGTTCAATTCAGCCTCAATCTAGACGAAGCGTCCGTTCAACCGTCCTCTTCCTTCCTCTTTGAGTACCTTCACTTAACTGCGGGACAGTTTCTGAAGCATTTCGGGCCCTTTTTACAGTCCCAATTTCGATAGTTTTTGCGGCTAAAACGTTGTAGAAACGATTCGAATTTCATTCGTCATTTTAATAGAATTTTCTGGAATCAGAGCCGTTTCTTTGATAAAAAGTTCCGAAATAAGAACCTTCTTTTACACTACTAATTTAAAATTGAATCAATCACGCCATTTGAAACTGCCATCGTAGACCGTTGATATTATTTAACCTTTGTTCTCATTAATTCGATTCATTAATTCGATCGTGGAACTAGTGAGAATTGTTTTCTCATTTGTTCGACCGTCGTACTTATTTTACCCGAGTAACAAAAAACAATAAAATATAAAAAAAAGCTTGTTTTTTCATAGGGGTGTTTGTATACATCTCTACCACAACCTTGATCAAATACATAATAGAAAAAATATGTTTATGTCTTCGTTATCGCAATAAGCTTGATTAATTACCGCAATTCTCTATATCTAAATAAAGTCCAACACCAATTTTTTCGCATGTTAATTTCATTTGTGCTTCAATAATATAATCGCCTCAATGAATAAATCGATTTTTCTCCTTTTAGAAGCTTTGTTTGGTGCGGAAAGTCTCTGAAGAATATGATATATTTTCAACCTGAAACCAGAAATAAACACCTAGAGTTAAAAATTAATTTGCGGTGAGTTCGTCGTCTAAAGTATCCACTTTGTTTACCTGCAACAAAAATT